CACCCCGAGGTTTTCACTCTCCACCAACTGCCAAGGTCTGCAAATCCAACCAGTGCTATCTAAAACAAGTTCCACCCCAAATCCATCCACTTCACTTTTTCACTGCCCTTGTGCTGCAGAGTCTCTGCTCAGCTGGCTTCCCTGTTCCCGCTTGACCTCCTGCCTCTCCTGGCCCTCCTGGTGTCCCACCTGAGGCCGGACCCCACTGCCTTTGAGTCAGTTCTAACTCAGAACAAGCGGGTTTCTGGGACCGTACATCGTTCTGAGAGCAAATAGCCTCATCTTTTTCTTATGGGGTTACTGGTAGGTTTGAACTGCTGACCTTGAGGTTGGTAGCCAAATGAATGGAATATTGTCATGACCCTCTCTGAGGTGGTGGCCTCCTGTTTTATCAGAATAAAATCTCAGCAGCTCACCTGACTGCTACCGACATCCCACCTCCAACCTCTCCCCACTCTTCTTGCTCAAGTAGCTTCATCCTGCTTCCCAAACATTCTGCTGCCAGCCCTGCTTCCGGCCCTGGAGCTACACACCTCTCTGCCCGACATCCTTTTCATGACCTACTCGTATACCCCTGCCCTTATTCTTTGCAGGCATTGCCAGCTCTCAGCATACCAGCCCCGGCAAGACCTTAGCCGATCACCCGCATACAATTTCAACACCCCCCTCAGCCTGGCACCCCATTCCATCAGTAATGCAGTCTCTGAATCCATCTCTAGCCCATTTGAAAGGCACTGTCACGTGGGTAGGGCTGCCACACCACGCTCTCCTCTGAAGGCTCTCTTCCCCTTCTTCTTGCAGGAAAGGCAGAGTTGTTCTGGGGTTCTGCGGCCGGTCACGCTTGGTCCTCATGGTCTAGCTGTGCTCTCCATGAACTTCAGGGGAGCCACAGAGAGGGGCCCTGGGTCCAGAACCCAGTAGTCAAGGGTGTGATGGCATGACCTGGGCAGAACCCCTTCCCACACTCTCTTCCCACGGTCTTGGCTGTTTGCCTTGCACTACCTAATGTACCCTTCTCTCTTCCCAATCCCAGGGCTGTTTCCAGTTGGAAACTAGGACTCAGAGCAAGGAGGAGTCTGTCCCAGCTCACATAGTGAGGCAGCACTCACACTAGAATGCCTGTTCTAGTTGTTCAACTCCCAGGTCCCCAAACCCATGGGTTTTTCGTTTTCTACTCCTCGGATACCTTCTTCTAGGACCCATGTCTGGGCTCTGACATTATTTTAAATGCCGCCGATGTGGAGATATTATAGATCAGTGGTTCTCAACCTTCCTAATGCCGTGACCCTTTAATACAGTTCCTCATGTTGTGGTGACCCCCCAACCATAAAATTATTTTCACTGCTACTTCATCACTGTCATTTTGCTACTGTTATGAATTGGGCGACCCCTGTGAAAGGGCCATTTGACCCCCAAAGGGGTCGAAACCCACAGGTTGAGAATCACTGTTATAGATGAACAGACTGAGACTTGGGAGAGACTGACCCAAAGTCAATGAAAGGTCTCCACTCATGGTGGCACCGTTCACAGACTCTGACTAGCCAGTCCTGTTGTGGTGGCAGAAGGGCTCCCATGGAGGGGAGGACTCTGCCCCACTTCAGGCCGTAGATGTCTGATGGAGAGACTCCTGGCAGGTTGAGGTGAGAGAGGTCACCTCAGGGTACACTGACAGGGGAGCAGTCTAATCACTTTGGGTCAGCATAGGGGCCAGCAGGTAATCAAGCAGAGAAGAGCCGAGAAAACTCTGGGACACAGATTCTAGGCCGGTTAGTCTTCAGAGGCTGGACGGAGGGTGGCCAGTGAGGAAGGAAGGTGTGAGCAGTCTGAAGACTTTGGGTCTCTAGATGGAGGGGGTGGCTGAAGGAGATTAAGCATGGGACTGGCTCCACCAATGTCTGGGGTGAGCCAAATGAAGTTTCCACTCTGCAATGATTGTTGACACACAAATGTGCATCCCATGACCCAACCTCACAAAATATCTAGAAGATTGTCTCAGGGGTGGGCGTGGAACACCTGTCCTCCATTTGTTATTCCTTGGTTTGCTCGTTCACTCGTTTTTTTCCATCCATTGACCAAAGGCTTGAGTGCCTGCTGTGAGAGGAAGGTGCCTGGGTGGGTTGTGCTCAACTACTAACCTCAAGGTTGGCTGTTCAAATCCACCCAGCAACAGACAAGAGAAAGGCCTGCGTGGCTATCTGCTTCTATAAAGACTACAGCCAAGAACCTCCCTGAGAGCAGTTCTCCACTACACTGGTCATCCGGAATGGAACCAACTCAGTGGCCATGGGCGTGGTTTTGAGTTAATTGTGACTGGAGGCCCTGTGTCTGCATGTGTGGTCAGGGGAGACTCTGGAGACCTTAGGGGAGTGACCCAGGGGCATGTCTGTAAGTCAAGTCTGCCAAAGACAGGGATCGGCAAATGCAAAGGCCCCATTGAGGGAACACACTTGTGGGGCAGAGAAGATGGAGGAGGCCAGTGTAGCTACAGTGAAGGGAGGGAAAGGGGCAGCGGAAGGCTGAGAGGGGGCTGGGAGCGGCTGGGTATTGCGGTGTTTGTCAGGCTGCGGTGAGAGTTCTGATATTACTCCTTGTGAATAGAGAGCACTGGAGGGGTGTTCGCACTGCTCTGCAGACGATGGGAGCCAGGAGTTTCCAGGCAGGCAGTGGTGGCTGGAACCTAGGTGTTGGCGGTGGAAGTCTGGTTTGGAAGTGAGCTTCCAGGATGAAGGGAGGCTGATCATTTGAAGGCTGATTAGGAAGGTCTCATCCTGGTCTGGGGATTCTTGGTTGATGGAGTAGGGTCAATGAAGTCAGTGGGAAGATCACAGAGGTCTTCAGGAGGCGGGGAAGTCACCTCCCCTCCGTGCCTTGGTTTCCTGTAACAGCTCTTCTGGTCGAGAACATCAAGAAGCAAGGCTTGTGTTTAGGTTTATGGGGCTCCCCATCAGAGCTCTTGCCCCACTCCCCAACCCCCCTCAGGGTGCCACTTGCTGAAAAAGACCAGGTCACATGGGCTGGTTTGTCCAAAAGAAAGGAAAACAGACCCAAACAATGACCCAACTCAATTCTGACTCAGAGTGACCCCATAGAACTGCCCCTGTGTGCTCCAAGACTGTAACTCTTCATGGGAAGAGAAAGCCTCAGTTTCCCCCCTCGGAGCAATGGGTGGTTTCAAACTGATGCCCAACAGGATCAGAGTTCAGGCTGACTCATAGGGGTGAGGAAATCAGAGGTGTGGTCACTGACTTAAAGCTCATATATATTTTCTTTTCATGTAATTATTTGTTTTCTAATTGTGGCAAAAATATACACAACAAAACATTCTCAAATCCAACAACTTCTACATTATAATTCAGCGCCATTGATTATATTCCTCATGTTATGCAATCATTATTGATATCATTTTCCAAATTATTCCACCACCATTAACATAAACTCAATGCCCCCTAAGCAAAAACTCTTCCTCCTTCACCCATGGTAACCATTGGTCAAGTTGGGTTTCTCCTTCTTTTTAAAGTAGTTTTCTTGATAGAATATTCACATGCCATACACTTCCATGGTTAAATCACTTTTTAAAAGAGTTGTATAGTACTGCT